ATATTAAGGCTGCACACGCGACGGAAGCTTAAAAATGGAGTAACTTCTCCCATTTTCCTAACATTTCCCTTCACTGCTCTGCTCCTATTAATCGTAGCGTGATAAAAAGTATACTATAACCAGCTTAGGAATATGAAGAATAATAGTACCAAGTTTCGTTAAAATCCGTCGAGTAGTTTTTGTTTCTATAACGAACATACAGACAGACAGACAAAAATTTTACTGATTGCATTTTTGGCATCAGTATCGATCACTAATCACCCCCTGATAGTTATTTTGGAAATATATTTCATGTACAGAATTGACCTCTCTACAGATTTATTATGCGTATAGAAGATAGATGTAACTTTTTGTTTTTATTAGAACTACCAGAGGGAGACTTTGTACAAAAGTCGATTGCTTGGGTACCTCTGTCCCATTCGTGTTTCTACCGTGAAGCAGTTGTGTTTGCATGGCTGTGTTTCGGTTTGAAGGGTGGGATATGGCGTGAATTTATAGGGTTCAGAGGAATAACACCTGAGTCCTCAGGAATGACAACGCATGGGGATATCATGGGCGAAACAGTATAGTCTGTTATGTCCATGGTACTGCTCATGTCTATAGGTGACGGTTACCACTTTCCATCAGGTGGGCCGTTAGCTTGTTTGCCATTCTAAGTTGTATAAAAAAAAATAGAAAAAATAAAACTTCAGTTGAATATAAATTCGAAACTGTTATATGTGCACATTTACATTATACACACACTAGAGTAACCATATTTTTGTCTCGTTGTTGTGATTACATGCCATTAAACATACGTCGTAATGTAAAAAATGTAAATGGGCTCCCATTTCAGTACTTAGTCTCCCATTTGAGATTACCATATCTATCTTTATAAATATATGTATATATATGTACAGAGAATTTATACACAGTAAATTCGAGAATTTTTTTTATACAACTTAGAATGGCAAACAAGCTGACGGCGAACCTGATGTAAAGTGGTAACCGTCGCCTATAGACATGAACAGTACTATGGACATAACAGTTTCTGACAATACTGTTTCGCCCATGATACCCCCCATGCGTTGCCATTCCTGAGAACTCAGGTGTTATTCCTCTGTACTATGTAAATTCACACCATATCCCACTCCTCAAACCGAAACACAGCCATGCAAACACAACTGTTTCACAAAATAATAAAACATAAAGTTACGCTTACTTATATAATTGACATATTGCAAACAAAAAAGAATTATCTACAAAAACGATGTTCTAGAATATAACGAAAGTTTGAAAATTTTTTTGAATTTTTTTTAATAAATGATAATAGAACACAGAAGGGGTGAATCTACCTTTACAAAACTAAATTATTACATCAATTTAGTGAATATAAAATTTTATTAACCAACTTTAAAATCTTACAAAAACATTGTAAAACTTATAAAATATCAGTGTACTGGGCGTAAAGTACGCTCGGATCTTACGTATGGGAGATATTGATCACCGCTGCTGTAAAAGAAAATAAAAAAAATAAATTTAAAATTATTCCTTACCACAAACCGTCTTGAAAGACATTAATTACATATTGGCCTGAATATGGGCCTGTCTGCTGATATCTAGCAGCAGAAATAAATAACCGATTAACTGATTAAACGTTTCCATTTATTACTAATTTTATTTATAGTGTACTTCTTTCTTTATTGTACACAAACAAAGTAATAACAACATTTCATTTAAAATGTAATGAACAGAGGTGAATTTATCTCTAATAAGAGATATCTTTCAGCAAACATTGTTGTTATAAAATAAAAATAGACAGTCATACAATTTGTGTACATTTTAATAAAAACACTTAAAAATATTAGCATAAACATATTTGTAAAATAAGTAAATACAAAGAATAATATAAACTACATATTAACTACATAAAATACATAAACCTTGTAAATAAATAATATTGGAATAAATAATAGATAAAAAAATATAAATATACACAAATACATATACATATACATATAATAATAAATATAAACATATAATAATAAATATCTATACAGTTAATAAAATTGTAGATTTCAAATGTCCGTACATAAAAAAATGCTAACAACCGAGTCAGGACGATGTTAGACTAATTTTTCTGCGGATACCCACGTAAGGAGATTAGACTACGCCGTGAAATTTTTAACATTATATAATATTTTTTGCCTTTTTCATGGCTTTTTTAGTGACTTAGAGCATCCACATATAGCTAGTAGTTTCTTAGTGTTACGAAAATAAAAATGGTCATATATAGTGCAATTTCAGAGGAGTTTTCTCCCTTGAACGTTCAGGCTGTGCAATAAGCTTCCTGCCAAGGTTTTTCCTAGAGATTCCAGTATGGGATTCTTATAGCATAAAGACTTAAAAGAAGGTTATATATTAAGATTTCTTTAGAATAGGCAATAGTGTTACAGGCGTCCATAGGCTACAACGACCACTTGCTATCAGACAGACTGTACTGTTTACCACTTTCGTGGTATAAAAAAATGTCTTACTAGCAAAACTATGGGAGATAAATTTAATACTTACTTAAAGAAACTTTTGAATAAGAGAACAGGAATATCGAAGTAGACAGCGGTAAGGGACAGCACCACCAATGAGCTGAGTACAGTTATCTTTAAACTCCGTTGATTGCAAACAGTGTGTTTGCTGAAGAGGTTTCCGATACTGGATCTAGCTTTAGAACGTCTGTAATGTAATAATACGAATTGAGGAGTTATAGAAGGAGAAATGTTTTTAGTATATTTCGGTATATCACTATATATATAATATAGCGATAATATAATTGCTACAATTGTTAAAATTATACATCATCTACTATATACTATATACTTTATAAAATGCAGAAAAATAGTTATATATATATCAATTCAAAACTGTGGAAGAAATCCAATAAAGGGACAGATATAAAATCGAGGTTAAATAAAAATGTATTCATTTTGATAATTATGTTTACAACCACAATGATATTATTGAAAATAGAACACTTTAAAAAAAAGAGCAATTGTGTCTCACAAAAAAAAAAAAAACTAAATTCAATTGCGTCAAAACCAGTTATTTATTTATCATAAAATTTCTATGGTACCAATTTATATATATAAATCCTTTTTGATAAAAACAAATATTTTTCAAGTTGACTTATAACTTAAAGAGTTATGAGATATAATTAAAAAAAAATACAACCGAATTAATAACCTCCTTCTTTTTGAAATCAGTTGAAAGTGTTTTCGCTTTGGTACTATGTTAATTTCTTAAGAACTGTTATTTTTATTTAGTGGTTAAAATTCGTTGCTGAGTAAAATCTACTTGATTTAAACTACACGATTCAGAGTTCTAAATTCAAATATTTACAACCGACTTCAGAATTAAGGAAGTTCTCAATTTCGTTTCATTTTTTCTATGTTTGTTACGTCATAACTCCGTCAATTGTAAACCGATTAAGATTTTATTTTATCTGAAAGAATATACGTGTCGTTATCGCTGGGTTTATTCAGAGACTACGAATCGATATTTATTATACACGATTAAAGTTTCTTTTAAAGTTAAAGTAGAGGAGACTTTGTACAAAAGTCGTTTGCTTGGGTACCTCTGTCTCATTCGTGTTTCAACCGTAAAGCAGTTGTGTTTGCATGGCTGTGTTTCGGCTTGAAGGGTGGGTGGGATATGGCGTGAATTTACAGGGTACAAAGAAATAACACCTGAGTCCTCAGTAATGGCAACGCATGGGTGGTAGTAAATTTATTCGTTTTTTTTTACATTTGATTTACTTATGTAAATAAAAACAAACAGCCAGAAGCTAGCGAAATATATAAATATAAATCTAAAATACATTTTTGATATTTAGTTACACAACATAACAATTCGACATAAGAATACGAAATTCATGGAATGTGTTATATTGTCCTTGACTTGAAGCCAGGGAATGTAATAAATGCTTAGGAAAAGTTCTGTTTAAGGAAAGTTAATCTCTTCTTTTTTGGAACACAAATGATGCAAAAGAGAGCCATTAAAAACGTATAAAATTTCGATTGAAATTAATGTCTGCGTGTTTTGTACGCTTTAATGACTAGATAGGTGTACCAATTTGCACAAAACTTGATTCAAATATAACTAAGAGCTAAACAACTTTTTTTTTATATAAATAGTCTTTAGCCACGACTTCGTTCACGTGAACATTGATCACCTTGTAAAAAAACTAGCTCATACACTTCTTTATTCCAAAGTTATAGTATGTATATTCGTAAATTTCGTAAGCTGTTTAAATAAAAGGTAACAAACAATTAAAAAATATTTCATAAAACTTTCACATTTATAACTTGAATAAGTATGAATGCCCCGTTTTCAAGAAAATCAGATATCGGTAGGTTTTGTAATAAAATGTAAATTTTTCAAAACATTAATATTAATATGTTATTATCTGACAACATAGCGGAAGCTGCATCGAGATTCTTGCTACAACCCATTATTATGCTGAGAGAGTATTCTTCAGAACTACTGTTACATAACTAGTAGGTACCTATAACAATGTTCGACAGTTTCTTATTCATATCTAATTATAAATGTCTGCGGAGAAAGTGATTGTTAGTAATGGAGACTAAGAATCTCATTGCTAGCAATATACCCAACCAGGTCGACCTCCTCGCGGTCCCCCCTGGAAACTATCATGGTTTTTTTTATGGTTTGCGGTACATTATTTAAGGCATCCCGTCCTCGCTATTGGATACGAGTGACGGAATTCATATAGAAGAGGGCATATGGTGGGCGCAGTTTAGACCCAATATTTGAGGAGCATTAAACTATCATGGTTAATTCCTGATGAATTCATCATGATGGGCTAACTGGCCTGTTTTCGTAATCATTGATCACCCTTCACTGGTGCTCCGCCAGCGTATCCCGTTAGCGTAGGCGGGGTTACCATACCATTTTCATCTATCAAAAAAAAAAATATAATGTCTAGTTTTTCGAGCAATAATTCAATATTACTTTTCATCATCATCATTATCAGCCAACCACAGTCTACTACTGGATGTAGGCCTCTCCTGAAGTGTACTTTGAACAGTCTTGTTTTTTACGCAACCAATAGTCCCTAACAATTTTACGCAAATCGTCACGCATTCTTGCTAGAGAGCATCCCATATTTCGCCTACCCAGAAACTGCCTACTAGAAGAAACAAGGAATAAATTCGACGTGACATCTATACAGATGTCACGTCCCAGACTCAGTGTATACTAAGTATTACCACTATTCTATTAATAAAATCGATGAATACTCTCTAATAAGAAGGGAGACTTTTTTATATAACTTAGAAAATGGCAAACTAGCTAATTGTCAACTGATTGAAATTGATAACATTTACCTATCGACTTAAAAAGCACCATGGAGACAATAAAGTAATATGTGATGCTCATGGTTTATCTCTAATCCGTTCCTATTTCTGAGGACTATGGTAGTATGGCTATGTTAGGTACATAGCCAACATAGAATTTCAACGTTATATCCTACTCTTCACAACGAAACAGCTATACAAACAAGCTACCCAAAAAAATGACTTTTATACAAAGTCTTCTTGTGTGTGAAGTTAAAAATAAAAAGTTTCTTATATAATTTTATATTTTTTTTTTATTTAGACTTATGGGAATTTAATGCCCCTTAGTGAATATACCATAACAGGCTGCTTTAAATTAAAAAAGAATCGAGTACATTGGTTCAGGTAAAGATGATGGAGGTCCACGCCCTAGTCCAACTGGCATCAAAACAGCCTTCTCTTTCGGTAGCAATATCAATTCAAGATCTATAGCTCCCTGAAAAAGTTAACACAAAATAAATATTATTTGTTTATTTTTACCCACGATCTGCAACAAATTGATTGTTTATATCGAAAAAAGTAGTATATGGTGTTTTTCATTCAAAATATTTCTTCTCGTTTTGGAAAAAGGTCGTGGTAGTTATTGTGCAACCCTTGTACTGTTGTTAAATGCTAAGGGGTTAGAAATAATAAGGGCTTTTTTTAACGCTTATTAACGCTGGCGGGACACCAGTGAGGGATGATAGGTGAGGTTGAAAGCAGATCAGTTAGCCTATCGTGACGAACTCCATTAGAATTAATTACGATGGTTTCCAGGGGGAACAGCGTGGAGGCTGACCTTATAGGGGATATTGCTAGCAATGGGTCAGTTAGATCCCATTACTAACAATCCCTTCCCCCATGAATAAGGGGGTTTGACTATTGTTTGAGTTATTAAAGTGCCAAGTTGTAACAAATCAACACATACCTTTGAATAATAAAGTAGATATGAAATGGAGGGCCAAATTAAAAGTACCCGAAACCGGCGAGCGTGTATGAAAAGACTGATGAATGTGGAAGATGCGAAAGAGGTTTGTTTGAATCGAAGCATTTGGCGTTCCATTGTTTCTGCCTACCCTAATGGGAGACAGAGGTGACTGTATGTATGTATGTAGTTCATGTACATAAATAATAATTTAATATCCATCGAGCAAGCCATCATGCCATAAAATAAGATTCTAAGTATAATTGTTACAAGATAAAATGTAAACTAACAGTTTGAAGATTAATTCCAGTATCTTTGTCAACAAATTGTAAAGGCCACCAAGCTCTGATTGATCTAGACGAGAACAAATTAACTTTTCTAGACTGTTCCAAATTGTCTAAAGTACATTGACGGGCTTGTTTTTCTCCCTTTGGCAGAGCATTCAAGTTAAGAATTACCGATCCTGTAATATTTAAAATAACCGTAAGTTATAAGTGAATGATGATGATAATATCAGCCTTTAACTGTCCATTGCTAAACATAAGCCTATGGGTTTTTTTTATGGGTGAAAATGGTATGGTAACTCCGCCTGCGCTAACGGGATACACTGGCGGAGCACCAGTGAAGGGTGATAGATGAGAATGAAAACAGGCCAGTTAGCCCATCATGATGATAATAGCATTTAGAAAATTAAAAACGACGAGACCTCTTTATTGTATTTTAATATGAAATATACAATTAATAATAACTATTATTGTTATTTCAATTAGAAAATCCGTATCTTCGACCGCAATTATGGCTAGAAACATATTACGCCGACCCCAAATAATAATTGGGATAAGGGTTGATTATGGCTCGAAACTTAATCCCAAAATTAAGTTTATTTTTGGAGATTTTTTTTTTATATAAACTCTCAAACTGCAATAGTAAAATTAATAAAACATTGTTTTATTTTTTTCTTTTAATATTCACGTAAATGAATGAATGAATGAATGAGTATACTTTATTTGCATTATACAATATAGGAAATAAACAAGACAATTTACAAACACAACGATACAATTGTATAAGTACAGTAAGGCGGTCCTTTCAAGACAACCTTAAGTAAATATATATAAATTGTTTTTATTACAAACTTTTCACTTCATAAACTTCGAATATAAGGGAGAGGGCAATGATTTTTCTGACATTTTATTACACAAAATGTATACAGCATAAAAATAAAGATTAAAAAAAAAGTTATATAAAAAAAGCCTTTTTATATTATACCCCGCTTGGACTAGTAAATCCATTTATAAATTTTAAGTACTATTTGTACCTATTTGTATCCCCTGGCAACGGAAATAAAATATTCATTTAGTTATTTCAATTACAATATATGTAAGCTAACAATATGTAAAACTATTCTAAATTTAAAATCGATAACATAAGTAGTTACTGAGATATAGCGCTGTGACAGACAGACGGAGAACGGATGGAGGAAGACTTTGTACAAAAGTCGATTGCTTGGGTACCTCTGTCCCATTCGTGTTTCTACCGAGTATCTGTATTTCGATTTGAAGGGTGAGATATGGCGTGAATTTACAGGGTACAAAGAAATAACACCTGAGTCCTCAGAAATGGCAACGCATGGGGGATATCATGGGCGTCAACTTGCTTGCTATTCTAAGTGGTTTAAAAAAAACGACCATAACGGTTCCTTTCTACCTTTAATCGACTGTTCAAATTGATAGTGTAATCGATAATACGCTATAATCGATTATAATTGAGAAATATTAAAAGCGAGTTTTTTTTTATAACACAGGGGGCAAACGAGCATGCGGCTCACCTGATGGTAAGTGATTACCGCCGCCCATTGTCACCCACAACACCTACGGCATTACAGGTGTGCTGCCGGCCTTTTAAAAAGGAATATGCTCTTTTCTTGAAGGTTATGTTGTTTGGTAAAGGCTATGGCAGAATATCAGAGTGAGTATTAGTAGAGTATTTTTTTATACGGGACCCTAAAACCCGTTCGTTTAATACAATAATAGTTTAAATTGATTCACAAAAGTCGATCATATTGCGTTACATACAAGAAATACAGTTAAAATAAGAACCTCAAAGAAAAACGTTGTTGCAATTAATTTTAATCTATTAATGTATGAAACGTGATGACGTGTATGAAAAATGAGAGAAAGTAAATGCAAAACAAAGCATTTCCTTTTTTGTACCGCACACACGTTTTGATAAAAATAACAATGTCGTTCAACAAGCCACCTCAAGCCTTGTGGAACACACGCCGTGCCACCGTAAGCAAAAACGCCGCGACTTACATACAGGGTTCAGGGCAATACAAATTTCTCCACCGTTTTCGCTGTGGGTGGTCGTCACACAATTGTCCAATGTTGTTATGTACAGCGCAGTACAAATAGTACTGCGCTGTACAAAAAAAGCGGAGTCTATACTTAAATGCTGGAGTTGGACACGTGTGCGAAGCGCCTTATTACTGCATACAACCCTTTTAAGACAAAATAATTAATTACCCAAATAGTCGTCTGGATTGACTGCATCATTGTCTACCACTTGGATCACTAGAATTGGTGGTAGCCGTTCTTCATGCTCCGTGAACGGTCCGCATTCTTTGAACACTAACTGTGAATTATTAACATTTATTTATACAAATATTTTAAAGAGGAAAGTTTTTGAGTGTTTGTTTGTAATGAATGAACTCAAAAACTACTCAACCAATTAAAAAAAATATTTCACTTATTGAATATATATCAGCGAATAACATAAGCTATATATTAATTTCCATTATTAGTATTCTATCTACCCATGGGAAGCCAGATCGGATCGCTAGTAATTTATATAAAACTAGCTATATCCTGCAGATTTGCATACGATCATTAGTGCATATAGTATAAGTATTAATACAGAAGAGATTTCTTACAAAAGTCATCTAAATGGTATCTTTGTCCCATTTGTGTTTTGGTCGAGAAGCAGCTGTACTCGCATCGTCATATTTTCGTTTCAAGGATGAAATATGACAGTGAAATTATAGGGTGCGGAGGAATTATATTATAGTTCTCAGAAATTGCAATAACATGGAAATCATAGTATAAATTAAGTTATGTAAATGGTAAGGCTTATATGCTATTTATGTTTATAGGATATATATATATATATATATATATATATATATATATATATATATATATATATATATATATTAACTATTTACTAGACATCTTATCACAGTAGCTATGTAAAAATTCTTAATCAGCTACTGACAATGTTACCGTTTCATTGGAAGGTAATTTAATCCACCGTATAGCTGAATCTACCTACCTTGTTCCTTCAAATCAGCGGTCAGTAATCAGCGATTTGTAAATGAAAGTTTTATAAACCTAAAATTTTAATTTACAAGAAGTTCATTTATGAAACTTATTATATTGATAACAAGTTCTTAAACAATAAATATTTTTTTTAATAAATATATTTGTGTTCTTTGAACGTCAGGGATGTCCTTCTCCAGAAATCTGTCCGACTCTATAATAATGGCATACGAGTATGCTACCCTGGCCTTCCGAGCCGCTGCAGTGTCTGTCTTTTTCACAACTGCAATGTCCCCCCTTTCCTTTCCCACATAAGTCCTTTATTCCTCTTATTTACCAATTCCCTGTACGCATTTCAAACGTTCCCTTCCTCAATCCTTTCCTCCATACCGTAGGTGGTGAAAACCACCAACAAATGCGTTCCCAACGAGGGTTGACGTCAGGCAGGCGGCTGGTCGTAAAACTATAAGCCAAAATTTTTGTAATATGGATGAATAACATATTACTAAGAGTAGGAAGATAATAATAGTCGTCTTCTTTGAAATTCTCCTATAAGTTTATAATTTATTTTTTCTCATTTTTCAAACAAAATGTTTTCGCATTTATATTACCACCAATATAGGGATCGATAATCAGATTTAAGGATAAATGCGGCCCGCTTTGCTTCACTTTGTCACTAAGCGGTTATTGTCTGCCAAAGGTTGTCGACCCCTGCAAATAACTTTGTAGGCTAAAGAAAAATTTTACAAACCATTCTTTCGGCATGTTGATAACAGAAGTGAAATATCATACGCCAATTAAATGTAACTACCCCATCTCTGCAGCAATGGACGTCTGTCAATTGAGATTGATTCACGGAGCCAATCCACCTGTTAGATTAATAACAACGGTTAAGATTTACCATTAACAAGTCTGTTTAAAGATATTTTTAAAAACAAGCATTAGGCTTCATGATTAAACTCTGAGCCCAAACAAGACAGTTAAACTATTTATATATTATTACCTATTTAGATATAAGTATATATATATATATATATATATATATATATATATATATATATATATATATATATATATATATATATATATATATATAATATATATATACATATTTAACCCTTAAAGAGTAGATTGTCCTACACTGCATTTATCGTATGAGGTCGCCACTCAAGAACCTTTCTCCCATCTTTTTGCTTCGCTTGTCAGTTTTTCAAGCTATATGACCAGCCCATTTTCACTGTTAACTTACTTATCTTTCAGGCTATGTCTGCCATATGATGATGATGCTTACATAATAAAGGAAGGTGAATAAAAGGTTGTAAAAGCGTGGCTGTCAGCGTGTTTGTTACAGACTAATAATATTCATATATTGAATTCATAAAACTTGATAATGTGATACAAAATCTAACTTCCAAAACTGGAGCTTCTCAATTCGTCTATACTTTTATATATATTACAAGATTTATATATATAAATCTCGTATCACGGTATTTATTGTCCCACTCTTCCGAAACGCTTGACTGATTTTTATAAAATTTTATATGTATATTTGGTAGGTATGAGAATAAATCGTACGTATATTTCATACCGCTAAATGATTAAAGTAACTCAATTCCTAATTTACATGGCAAAGCGTTTGCCGAGTTAACTAGTACACATATAATAAAATTAATTTACCCTCTCACAAATATGTCACAATTATTTCTTGAAACATCACCCAGTTTCAATCTACATACATCCCAAATGATAAGCCTCAGCTCATAATCTTCGACCTTCGGCAGCGATATGTCGACAGGTGGAGGAATAGCTAGATTGTTGTCAAGTGGAAATATATCTACCCACATTTGAATTTTACCCTGAAACGTAGCAATTACTGTTTATTTTATATTTATAAGATTTTTTTTTTTATTATGAATGATGAATGATCAGGCTCACCTGAGGAAAAAATTAATTACTAGTAATGGGAGCTAGTAACCACATTACGAGCAATATACCCTATCAGGTCGACCTACACACGGTCACCCTGGAAACAATCGCGATTAATTCTTGTGGAATTTGTCATGATGAGCAACTGTAGGATAGTTTTCATTCTCACCTCATTGATGCCCTGTCAGCGTATACCGATGGCACAGGCGGGGTTACCATTCCAGTCTCAACCATTAAAAAAAACGGTTCAGCTGATGGAAAGCGGCAACCACTGCTTATAGACATGAAAAGCCCCACACATTAAGTTTAACTGTAAGAATAATCAATTGACTTATTTAGGTTTTTATCAAAAATCTCGATTATGAGAATTCTTCGGGATCTTTAATCATGAGTAACAACAGAAAAAAAATTTAGGTTAACTTCTACCATTTAAGATAGCTTATTATCTATTTCAATCTGAACGAGAGGGAGGGAAGGGATTGTTAGTAATGAAGTCTGAAAGCCCCATTGCTAGCAATATGCCCTATCGGGTCAACCTCCACGTGGTTCCCCCTGGAAACCATCGTGAACAATTCTCGTTGAATTCGTCACGATGGGCTAACTGACCTGTTTCATCCTCGTCTATCATCCTTCACTAGTACTCCGCCGGTGTATACCGATAGCGCGGGTGGGGTTACTATTTCATTATCACCTATAAAAAAAAAATCTGAACGAGAGAGCTATCTGTTTTAGAATTTAAATTATGTTAAATATTTTTATACAATATTCCAAATATTACTTAAGTAAACAATATTGGTGTGATTTTTTATTAAATTAGCAGTTTAAAAATAAACAAATTACTTGATTTTGTTATATTGTATAATAAGATTTTTTATCATTTTTATAAATTACATATTTAAAAAATATTATTTATGTTACAAATATTTGAATACTATTAACAAATATAATAAAAAATCCACTGTATTACTGCATAAAAGTTGTAAGTAAAGAATTTACTATACTTTGAATTCCATCAATATTTTTACTCGTCATATCTCGCGGCTTTGCCCGCGTGAGTCAATATATATTAAATAATCCGTTACATCAGGAAATAATTCTAAGTTCTGGAAACGACATCATCATCATCATCATATCAGCCGTTGACTGTTCACTGCTAAACATAGGCCTCCCCTATAAGTGGCGTTTTGGCAACGGTAATTGGAAAATTTAGTAATGTTTAAAAAGAGACGTTGCTGCCCATCCCTCGACCTTTAAGTTCCCTTAGTCGCCTCTTACGACACCCACGGGAAAGTAACGGGTGGCTTATTCTATGCCGGGACCACACGACGACACAGTTATATAAATATTACATGTTCAAAAAATGATATTCACAACGATAGTCACTCTGTATTCATGACTAAATTAAAATGTTGATGTACCTCCCCATTACATTATATTTATTTATAATTTATAACAATTTAAATACAATTTCCATTATTTATATTATATTATTATTCATATTGTTAATATCTTTACTCATATAATGACATTTAATAATTTAATTATATTTTAATGTTTATCAAACACAAGGCATGCTGTGGTTGCCTATAATAAATGTAAGAACAGTAAGATCTAATCTACCAGTGTATTGTATTGAAATGTTTAGCTGTATCTTATGTTGGTAATCCTATAAATAAATAAATAAATAGAATTAACCTAAGTACGTACCTGGTCTACACCTGGTTTATCAGGATTATAAAGTGTTCTGGTCTCGACATGTTCTGGTACCAAATTATAGCCACACAGGGGTAACGTATGCCATTTACGTAATAAACTCAAGCAGATATTCTCTTTCCTTTCCGATGAAGAAATGTAATTTTTATCTGTGAAAAACGTGATGAGTGTAGGTTAGCGGCGGTGATTAAATACGATTATTATGCATGCATGAGCAAAAAAGGGGTAAAAAGGTTTCCTCAGGGTCACTCAAGTATTACCTGTTTTTTTTTTTTATAACATAGTGGCAAACGAACATTCAGCTCACCTGATAGTAAGTGACTACCGCCGCCCATAATCACCCGCAACACCAGAGGCATCGCAGGTGTGCTGCCGGCCTTTTAAAAAGGAATATGCTCTTTTCTAAATGGTTATGATTTTTGTAATGAGTTATGAGTTTAACCTATAGTAGAACTGAGTTGATATCTAATTATAATATAACAAATTCAGTGATGAGGGGGGAAAGGGATTGTTAGTAATGGAGACTGAGAACCCCATTGCTAGTAATATACCCAACCAGGTCGACATCCTCGCGGTTCTCCCTGGAAACTATCATGGTTAATTCCTGATGAATTCATCATGATGGGCTAACTGACCTGTTTTCATTCTCATCTATCACCCTTCACTGGTGCTCCGCCAGCGTATCCCGTTAGCGCAGGCGGGGTTACCATACCATTTACATCCATAAAAAAAAATTCAGTCATGAATTAAAATAATCAAAGATGTTTGGTTAATCTGTTATCATTTCTATTGTACCTATCGCTGGCATAAAATAACCATTACATTAAATCGCATAAAATATACTATACCTCTCTCACTTTCTTTGTATTCAACTCCGTTGACAATAACTGTACCATTATCAAGATATACAGGCGTTGCAAGATGATTTTTTGTACATATCTCTTCAAGAATTGCTGACGGTTTTGTTGAGTCGCGCCATTTTGTTGGACCTGTCCTATACGTCATAAATTTTATAATATAAATACATTATCAAACATTATACTAGTTGTTAAAAGTTTTGTAATTGTAAATTTATTTTATATTGTAATTGTAAAAAATGTAGATTTTATTATGAGTGATTTTTAAAAATAAATACAAATACTTTTTAGTAAACAATATTTTTATATATACAATAGAATTGGCCACTCCTTCCTTTCCCGCGGGTGTCATAAAAGGCGACAACGAACCTAACGATCGAGGAATAGACTAAAGTGTCCCTTTTAAAATATCATCAAAGGCTAACTGCGTTTGCGAGCCCGTCTGCCAAGTATGGCAGCTATTGGTAAAACTCCCCAATGGCAAATACCAATAAGAAATGGTCCCGATCCCGATGTAAGATAACCATGGAGCAAATGGATGCAGGTGGCTCGGCATCATTCTTTGGCAATGAAATGAAATAAAATGAATTTATTTTGCTAGAATGTAGGTAGTTTTCGATGAAAAGAGGTTTACATTTCCCATATACATTCTGCCTCTATGTCGGCGTGCAAATTATTTACAATTCATTAATTCTTGTTTTGTATGTTACTGTGTGAGACAGTTGATTCTTTGAATAAATTATTTTTTCTTTCTTTATTAAATGTGTTACATTGTAACCCACCATTATACCGTTTAAATTTTATTCAAATACGTTCAGTAGTTTATGCATGAAAAAGTAAACACAAATCCATCTTTAAAATATTTCGCATTTATAATATTAATAGGATTACAATTCGTGTCCCATGAATAAGTTTGCGATTTGGTTTTAGCCATAGTTGCGACAGTATACATTAAGGAGGTAATTTTATATCATACATTATTTAATCTACATTTTAAAATCTTTTAATAGTTTTTAGTGTTATATTTCCCCAATAGATGGCTTTGCTAAAAATTTAGATTGCAATATAATGTTCTCTTTGGAAAGAATAGATACATTATGAACAAATATTTTTCTTTACTCAGGCACAGTACACGTATCCATTATTAGGGATTACAAATATCACAGAGTAATTTTTGGAGACTCGATTTAATCGAGTCTAAAAAAAACGAATAATCCGATTTGACTCTACTCAATATCTATTTGGGGTAAACAGTCACCACTATGTCACATTCCTGAGAACATAGTTTTATGTCTCTGTACCCTGTAATTTAATTGCCACATCTCACTCTTCAAATCGAAACACAGTCATGCAAACAGAACCGCTTCACGGCAGAAACACGAATGGGACAGATGTACCTAAGCAGACGGCCTTTGTACAAAGTACAAAATTTATTTAAAACACTATCTAAACAATGCTTATTTAGGTAATCTAAACATATTTATAACTATATGTGACAAGATCTGTAAATTATTATAATAATATTTATTATTTTAAACGTCTTCCATTTTTTAATAACAAAACTTGTTTAGACTTAAACAGCTGTAAGAAACTAAATCTGATTTACTTTATTAATTTGTTATAACTATATGCTAACATTTTAAATTATGACCTGATACTGCTTGAACTTTTATATTCACATAAATTTATAATTTATATATTTCAACTTTTTGAAAAAAGCAACAGCAGCAATTTTGTTTCGAATAGATCCATATAAATTTATTGCCCTTATATTAGCTGTTTTGTCCAAAGCTGAACATAGGCATCCATAAGAAACAGCAGATTCCATTTCTTCCAGATATTTTCCAGTGGAAGATTTTTTTTTTTATTAAAATGATCATTCGAAAATTGAGGTTTACTTGAATAAATATATATTTATTTCTTTTTTTCAAACACTTATGCATTAATACATCATCTAAACATGTGTTGAAAAATAATGTTCAACATTTTTTTTGCGACTTAGGATGGCAAACAGCTGACGGCCCACCTGATGTATTGAGGTATTATGCCTTTGTACCATGTAAATTCATTGACATATCCCATCTCTCAAACTGAAACACAACTATGCTAACACAACCGCTTCACGATAGAAACACAAATGATACAGAGGTACCCAAACAAATGACTTTTGTACAAAGTCTCCCTCTGGTACATGTTATCGTTTAATGCAAGTCTAACTTTATAGCGGTAAAAGAGTAAGTTATTGAATATTTTTTAGGCAGTTATTTGTAATTTTATATACTAAAGTCTATGGATAACATTTATCACTTAAAACACTTTTTGTTTTTATTTTCTTTTGTCTTCCCTTGTTTGCATGATTTTTTTTATTGGTGAAATAAATCAAGGTAACATAGTTCATGTTTAAAATTAAAGAAAAACTGGTTAAAAAAATAAATTTGACAGCTATGTTTTTTTTTCTGCAATGGACATTAAGAAGGTATCCAGACACGATCAACTTAAAATAAAATTGTTTTTTTATATAATTTTTGGGCATTCAGTGTTATGATGAAATTTTTCACCATTATGCAAAAAAGGGTTAATATGTGTCTATAGCAAGATTAATGTATTTTTGAACTCATCTCTTTGAGAAAATTGTTTAGTTTAGTTGCTAGAACATTACCTAAAAGTATTCTATCGAGGTCAGTTTTATATTATTCATAAATTATTAAAACATACAAATTATATTCATTGGAGAGTCCAACTCGAGCTCGATGTTTGGTATAAATTCTATCTTCCAAATCAATAGACGTGGAGCCGATTAATTCATCTGGTGGCACTGACTCAAAGTTAAACAGAGAAACATTCAAAACGTAGTCCTCGGGTATAGTGCATCGGAATTCATACATCCTAAAATAATAAAATTTAGAGATTATTCTTAGCATACCTGAGAATATTGTCTAATAAATATATTTTTTAATGGGTGAAAATGGAATGGTAACCCCGCCTGCGCTATCGGTATACACCGACAAGGCACCAGTGGAAGATGATAGGTGAGAATGAATGCAGGTCAGTTGGCCCACCGTGATGAATTCGGCAAGAATTAACCATGATGGTTTCCAGGGGGAACCGCGTGAAGGTCGACCTGAGAGGATATATTACTAGCTTATTATAATGGGGTTATTAGACCACATTACTAACAAACCCTTTCCCCCCTCTTAGGTATGGTAGTAACGGTCAAGTGGGATGTCGAATCATAATTATATACTACAATATCTATATATCTTAATGGAATATATTTATGATGCTTTAGATACTCATTCCTACAGCTCACACCGGGTAAATCTGTCCATAAGCTTTCGATGTTACCCAACGCCGGGAGTGCCAAGTTCGATCCAATATTAGGTTCCCTTGGATCTATATTCGTTTCAATATTAATATACATAAATATAATATAATATCCAATATATAGATATTACATGTATGCTTGATATGTATCATCCACCAATGTTTTCAGTTGATTGCTAATTTAATACTAACGAGCATGTTTATTTATATTTTGTTGCATACAAAGTTTGCATAATTAATTATTTTTATTTGTTAAGCGAGCTAAACTCCGTAAAACCACAAATCCGTACATTAGCAGAAATGATAGTTTTGATGTTATTTAATTGTACCTATTATTTAACAAATAAATAACTTATCAAATATCATCACTGTCATTACTTCAGGCGTTAATTGTCCATTACTAGACATAGCGAAATTAAGGAATAGTAATCTTAAACTCTTTAATTAATACTCACTTTCCAAATATAGGATGAATGGTATTAGACACATAACAAGAACGATCTCCCAACCGTTTCTTTCCACAGCGTATTATTACATACGGATCACACTTGCCAGAGAAATCTTTCGCCATCAAGTTTGAGCTTTTAATTATGTAAACTCTCACCAAGTATTTGGTTGGATAGTTGCTAGGGTAATCATCAAAATATCTGGAAGAGTCAATTGAAATAAGTAGCAGGTATCGATCTGAACAATTCTTCAGAGCTCTCCCCATGATAAATTCGGTAGAAGATGCACAGATGTGGAAGAAATTATTTTAAATTGATCTCTGACAGTTGTCATTGATTCGTATTATTCAAAGTACATACCATATGCGTATGAATGTATATTATTATGCTATATAATAAACGCAATAAATGTAATGTATGTTAAATGCAATAAAATATGCACGCATATTATCGATAACTGAAACATATTGCATAATAAGTAACCATTGTTTTTTGTTCTTAGGAAGTCAAATGTTGATATTTCGCCCGATGGGAAGTGGCTATCATTTCCCATGAATACATGCAACATAATAGGGATTGCGGATGCGTTGCTGGCTTTCTAAGAAATTAAGACCATGGTTTTATTTGTATTGCACTTATCTATGCAACTAGAAAATAAAAATGCAACAAACTTTTGTTTGTTTCTCTTTGCAAGCAATACTGTCATTTGAAAAAAAAAATCTAAAAATCACTATGATTTTCCCGGGAATTACATTTACTTAACTTTATTCTTAAATCCATATTTTTAATCTACTACGTTATTTTTTGTACAACTTAGAATGGTAAACAAGCTGACGGTCCACCTGATGGAAAGTGGTAACCGTCGCCTATAGACATGAGCAGTACTATGGATATAACAGAGTATACTATTTCGTCCATGATGTTTCGCTTACAGAGATCGTGTCTCCACAACAATCATTTTCAAAACATATTATATTTTAATTAATATTATCTTTTTACTCACGACTTCTTCCACGTGTTCGGGATATGTGGATAATTTAGGATAAATACAAGACTATACCCTTCTCTATTCTACATAATACATATAAGTACATACCAAATTTCATGACATTTGGTTGAGCCATTGAGGCGTCAAAAGGAAATAAACAAATAAACTCACTCACACATATATAATATTAGTAAGGAAGTAAAGATTAATATTCTAGTACACTACCCATGTTTTAGATCTGCTCCGTTGGAACTAACAACGACAGTGTCTCCAGGAGGTGGCCATCTGTATATAACAATGCCGGCCTTCAGCATCCCGCAGTATAACTGCACATCTTTCTCGGGTATTCCTGTCTTTGTACCATTGTAGAATTTCAGCGTTGCACACCAGTCTTTGAATTTGGAAAATTCCGGTTGCAATTCCAGCTCGGAAGTGTATATCTGATTGTGAATGCATTTCGTATTAATTAGTATATAAATAAATATTATTAGAATGCTATCAGGATGGAAAACTACACAAATCTGAATTTAAAACGAGCGACGGAATAAGCATTAAAGAATATAATTATTATCGTAAAATAATTATCGTTTTTAATAATAAGAAAGAAATGAAAAATTATTATGTAACAATAGATATTATTATACATTTTCATTATAAACTACAATTACTAACTATAGTACTGGCGACTAGTATGTACAGGAATCGTAATAATATTGTTCAAAAAACAAAATAAAAGACGAAAAGTACTAACGTTAATTTTATCGCTAGTTGGATCATCGTCAACGCACTGTTTCTGTTTAAAATGATAATGGGCATAATTAAAATGTACATCATTTAGAAAAAATATTTAATGATTATTGTGAAATTTTGATTAACACTTCGAGATTTATAGTAATGAGAGCAAATATTTATCTAAACTAATAAAGAGAAAGGATATGCAATTATGTAAGTATATTTAAATTTATTAATATACTAAAATTGTATCTAGGCTATATCTGTACATGGGAGATATTTAAGCCTTCATGATAATCGTAGGGAGCTAGGGGGCAACAAGTATAATTTGTTAATTTACTTGTGTAATAAATCTCTCCAATAAAGTGTTTATCTATCTATCTATCTATCTATAATTACACAAGTTTTTTATTTATAACTTTTTTTATCAATTGTATTTCATTATTACTTTATAGTGCAATGCGAATAAAAATGTTAATTGCTGCAAATAGAAAAACTATTAAAGATAGTATGACATGCAAACAAAATTAAAGAGGTGTTACTCAAAAAGTAATCTGATTTGAGCACAGTACAGGTCATAGTCATCGACCATGATGTAGAAACTAAAATGTTGTGATTATAAATACATTAAGGATATATATAGATTAACTTATAGAGTGATCCTATAGAAATTTTATAAAAATTGATTCATTTATTTTTATTGTAAATTTAATAACATTCAACCTCATGACATTTTATCAATCCATGAATGTGTATTTAGTGCCGTCTAGCGGACAGTGGAGAGACTTCAAGAAGATAATTTTACTCGTAGCTAACGGTTATACGCAAACTCTGTAACTAACAAGTATTGAAATTCTGTCCGCTAGAGGGCACTAAATGTATAATTTCGTAAAATGAATTATTAATTCGATTAAAATTAATTCGATAAATATTAAATATTAATTCGATTGAGGGCGATATTGCCTCTGCCACTGATTTTAATATGCTTGGCGAATTTGAGCATACCGATATTAAGTTCAGTGTAATAGCCTCAGTCAAGTAATTATTCTGTCTATCCTATCAAGAATTATAACTTATAGAAAGAAAAGAAGAGTTTTCCAAATCGATTTACAATTAGTATATAATAATGCAAAGGTAATCGCACCTACGTTATCGGTATATACCGACGACATACTAGTGAGGGATCATAGGTGAGAATGATTTATAGGGAGAACGGCGTGGAGGTCGACCTAATAGAACAGATTGCTAGCAATGGAGCGGTTACACCACGTAGGTACTAACAATTCCCCTGTAGATTTCATATTTAGGAGTGCTTCGATTTTTGTTGGTATTTTAGTAGTGGTGTTATAACTTGTACGTCTGTAGTAAACTAGAAAATGAGACTATAATATGGGACCCCAGCGAGGAGAAATATGAATACATTATATATAATATACTCGTATTTTAAGCAAAACAAAGATTTCATCAAATTTAACATACATTATACAACCTCTGGAGTATGTGGAGAAGTACATATATCTTGGACTAATAATCTATCAAAAAAATTAAAAACAAAGTAGGCAATGGGTGGAAAAGATTTTGGTCATTAAAAAGATTATGAAAGTATCAGATTTCAGTAAAGTCTTAATTATTAATTAAATACAAGAGCTATGGAGAGAAGCATGCTGAGAATTAAGAAATTACACAGGCAAAGAAACACATGTAAGATCGAGAACAAGTGTGACTGATATTCTCACTAAGGTAGATCAAATTAAATTAAGATGTATGGGTTAAGTTATATGCTACGAATCCCCTCGAGACAAATGAATCAAAACCTAAAAAAGGTAAACTGAGAAAAAAGGCAATTAAATTAATAAATCTGCCTTTATTTAAGAAATGGGAGTGCAATTTATGTATAAAAGCTGGCTTGCTTAGGGTAGATATTAAGTTAAGAGGGAATGCGTTGCAGTTATTCGAATTGAATTGGATGTTATACATATATAATTATTTTATTCCTAATTACCGCATTACATTCAATTATAGAAATTATATAACATTAAAATATATTTTAATCCCTCATAATTTACATTACTGATATTTAAATGTTATAAATAATTAGGCACGTATGAAAACTAGAATTGCCTGTAGTGTGTTGGAGTTTAATCATCTGTAAACTGCAGGTAATAAATAAATAACATACATATAATACAGTAAATAACTAGACGATGTCTGTACACAAATGGGAGATAAGAAAAATATGAGGGTGTTAATAAGAGAAATAAACGTCCGCCCATTTGTCTATCACTGCACTTTATCTCATATCAACAACTACAAAGACTATAGAGTTAATATTTGGAAGTTTTACTATTGCCCCACATATATCTATTTCAAATGAAATAACTAGTTATATAAGTAATTTTATTTATATTTTCCTTGCTAGTCGAGTGATACTCAAAGTATATTTTAATCGTATCTTTTATGCACATATTTAATTATTATTTAACTTATAATTGATAAAGAAATAGACTGTTATTGGAAGTAGACAGAATCCGTATTAAGTTACCCTATGTTATGATATTCTGACCCCCACACTCGGCCGACGACTATACAAAGAACAGGAAAATTAACCATAATATAATATAAAAAGTAATTATAAAAGCAAAAATGCTTTTGCCAAAGGGCAAACTTTATACAAAATCATTGTAAACCGAAAAATTTGAAATATATAATTACAGTTAATAAAAGTAAATGTTAATATTGTAGAAATAATGTTAATTAAAAAGCACAATTTCTGATAATTTATAAAAAAACTTACATATAAAAGAAACTAGTCATGCGGTCAAGTTTTTAACCACAATATAATACCTAATTACCATTTTATATAAGAAACATTATAAATGTTTGTAAATGTATTTGACTTGCGCAGTGTTATCATTTTATTATACTTTGATAAAGAATTGTATTTTCCATCTTAATACATTGAGAAGAAGGTGAATAATAGAGTGAACAAAAGTATTTTTAAGATGCTTGTCGTTTATAGTATCCTGGTAAATGGTACGGACAAACAGTTACGTTCGACTGTAAAATGTAATGGTATTTTACAACAACCAAATCAGATGTTTATGCTCGACTTGTCGACGTGGCGATACCATGGATGCCATCTTTGCCTCGTTCTCAAAGCCATTCCATAACATTGTCGACCCCCTATAATTTCGTCGTAGATAAAGCAAGTTAATCATAACTAGTTATATTTTCGAATAATAAATATTCAGTTTAATAGTGTAGTTGCAAAACGGTTACAACTCTACGGTATTTTTAGCTAACACGCAAACTTGTAAAGCAAGGGAAAACTAAAAAAATTGCATAATTTCAGTTCCGTTTTTTCTAGATACTCGAATTAAATAAGTTACTTTTTAATTCTATATAAATATATGCACTTACAAAGTTACTTTGGTAGTACAGTTCATACAGCATTTTGTTGCGATGATATTGAGATCTTAGCGATCTTATAGGAGGCTAAATTAAGTTAGGTATTTATATTTCATAAACGAATGGTTTGTAAAATAATTTATTACCTACCTGCACTATCTTACGTTTAAATAGAAAAGAACTACGCACCTAGTGTTAGGTACACTAAGTGAGTAGTTTCTGTCCTATGGAGAGGACTATGCTCGGAGTTTCTTTGCGTGACAGAATCTGAAATGAGGATATCCGCAGAAGAACCAAAGTGACGGACATAGCGCGAAGAATAATTAAGCTGAAGTAGCAATGAGTTGGCCACATAAGTTGAAGAACCGACAGCCTGTGGGGAAGAAAGGTTAGAAACTAAATAGAGAGACGATCTCAAAAGCATAGCAGGGAGTCAATGAATGCAGGTGGCTCAGGCCCCTTCCTTATGGGTAGTCTGTGGGGAAGGCCTTTGTTCAGCAGTAAACGGAAAATGATATGATATCAATCATCATATCAGAGTAAATTTTGTTTCGGGCATACATCATCATCATCATCAGATGATGATATATACCCGAACCAATTTACTAGGCTATTATAAACGTAAGAAGTATCTTAAAAATAAAGTTATTACTTTTGTCTACTTTCATATTTACCTTCTTCTCAATGCATTAAGATTGAAAATTCAATTTTGCCCTCTACTCAGGGATAAGAAGATGTTTAAACAGTACTGCGCATGTTCAACAATAAGGACAAAGATATGCTATCGACTTCAAATTTGGAATGATTTTAGATATTATAGGCCCAAACATTGAACTGAATTGACATCTATGAACTGATAGAGTTATGAGGTAACAAAATGATTGTTCACTATATATAAATAGACAGTCATCTTAATATTATAAGAGTATGTGACAATTTAATTTTATACCACGAAGGTGGCAAACAAGCATACATCCCGTCTGATAGACGCCTGCAACACTACGTGTGACACATGCACGTTGTCGATGTTGAAGAAACCTAATGCACCTCTTTAAGAACCCTAAAATGTAGTATCTAGGAAAAATCTTGGCAAGAAGTTCATTTCACAGCCTAAGCGTTCACGGGAAAAAACTCCTTTGAAACCGCTCTGTGTGTGACTGTTTAGGTTCAAGCGTGTGAGGATGAATTCTCTATCGATGAGAGGTACAATAATAAAAAATGGCTATGGGTATCATATCAATTACTTAAAATACAATTAAGAATATACACGCGGTAGAACACACAAGTCTCGCCTTAGATTTAAGGGATCATCTTTATTATATTTACATTTATTAAAAAAAAATGCGCGGATTAATATTTAATTACATTTTTAATAATTAATGAAGGTATATTTATTGCCCTCTAGCGGAAAGCAAAGAAACTTACATAACGTGAACGTTTTAGCATTGGTGCAAAACCGTTGTCTATGAAATAAAACTAAATAAATATCAGATGTCTCTGTTCATGAAAAAGTAAAAATAAATAATTAAAAAAAAAATTATGAATATGTTTTAAATAAAACAATTACATGAGATATTTTCCTTGTGAGTGATTTTATTTATTTTATTATTGTTGTGATGTTATTTTTTATTTAAATATTAAATATTATATTATCAGCGCTTAACGTGGACTGCATTTAAGTTTTAAAAAATCCTATCTAAAAATAGATAATAATAAAAAAACTAATCCTACCCGTACGAAGCCATTACTAGTGCAAGATAAATCAACAATACCACAGATAATATAATACTATACTGGACAATACTAACATCGTGTGAGTTAAAGAATCTCATCCACCAATTCTCCTGCTCAGAATATTCGGGTAGCTTCTTGACTACTCTTATTTGATCTGTTTCTTTTTTAAACATCGGGAGTAATATATATTCCTCTTCATTTGGTTCTTTTCTGGTAAAAAACTTACGCCATATTGACATTTTGGCTTTCGTCTTAAAATTCCTTGCAGTTGAAGTACTCCAGGTATCTTCACTGTTTGGTGGATTACTTTTCATATTGTGCAACGTATTCGTAGCTGGAATATTATAACTGTTTAGTATAAATACAAGAGCAGTTGAATACGCGACTTCACCTTTCGATGGTCGCGGGTTTGATATGCGCACAATACATATATTTAAATTTGTGAGTTTGTATTCGCCTGAGTATTTTTATGTATAATTTGTAAGTTAATTTATCATATTAAATTTCACCATATTAAACTAGTAATGAAACATTATATTATATAAATTTATTATCCTAGTATCCTGTATATAAAGACCTTGGCGTGAATTTACTGGGTACGGAGGAATAACACCTGAGTCCTCAGGAATGGCAACGCATGGGGGGTATCATGGGCGAAACATTATACTCTATTATGTCCATGGTACTGCTCATGTCTATAGGCGACGGTTATCACTTCCCATCAGGTGGGCCGTCAGCTTGTTTGCCATTCTAAGTTGTATAAAAAAAAACCTTATATCTTAAGTTAGTTGACTACTTACTCAGGTATCCAATTGCATTCAAATCCTTTCAACCATTTAAATATGATTCAATAAAACACATCCAAAATATTTACAATATTTTATATTTATATCAGTAGGATTACCTTGAAAGAAATTTGTTGACATTATTGATGCTGACCTGATGGAAGCTTCTCTTTCATTATTCGGTAACCAGTTGATTATATATTTATTAGGATTCTTAACAATATTAGTACCTAGGAACAATGTTCTGCCAAAGGTACTGCTGTCATACATTTTTATGGTCAGAGGTGGACAATAAGATTCGTTGAGTGGTGCCTCGAAAATCTGAGAAATTTTTCCGTTAGGGAAGTTGCAGTTGGCTTTTTTATCAACAATGATGTCAGATTTAACAGTGAGCTCATCTATTTCTAGAACTACACATGGTTTTCTAGCGATATTGACCTCTCGCAGACCCCACCAGTACACATCGATCCTGGAAATAATGCTTAATTGGGTATTAGTTGTATTGCTCGATAGGAAAATATTTAAGATTAAGCAATAGAGGGCCCATGACTTCACGACACAGGAATTTCTAGTGTAAAGTCTTGAGAACAAAATGTATAATTGTTACATTTTTTTGGTATCAATAAATATTATTATATTATATTAAACAAAAGAAATTCAGAGGGAAAGGGATTCATTTCAATGGTGGTGTAACAGCTTCATTGTTTGCAATATCCATTTTTTTTTAATGGATGATACCTAATAGAATGATGACCCCGCCTGCGCTATCAATATACACTGGCGAGGCACCAGTGACAGATGATTGGTGAAGATGAAAAAGCAGGTCAGTTAGCCAATCGATGACGAATTCAAAGATGAATTAGTCACGATGGTTTCCAGGGGGAACTGCGTGGAGGTCGACCTGGTAGGGTATATTGATAGCAATGAGGATTAACCTCCCCATTACTAACAATCCATTCCCCCTACAATATTCTATTAGGTCGATCTTACACGGTTCTTCCTGAAAGTCATTGTACTTATTGAACTTGTTTCGATGAGCTAACTGACCTGCTTTCATCATCCATCTACCATAAGCTGCTGGTATCCTGCCAGCGTATACCGATAGCGAAGGTGGGGCTTCCACTCCATTTTCCCCCATTAAAACAAAACAAGAAAAATTAAGAAATTTAAGACTATAAAGATATAAGCAGCAGTAAGAGTGAATACAAACAGCAAAAACCTAGCAGAAGGCATAAACAGGTTTTTATAAACAACATCTGTAATAAAAAGTAATAAATGTCTTGTTCTTATAGCAAATTCTTTTTACTTGTAAGTAGTCGACAGTGGTATCAGATTTGGCGGTAAGTGTTCCACTTCTTTATCATTAAGGCTAAGATCCTTCATATCAGGTTCGCAAAAAGACTCTTCGACAGGACTGTAAACTGTAGTTTTCATTAGTTTTTCTGGAATCTGAAAAAGACGAGTATTGTTATAAAAATTTATATATTTACAATTTTATCCCTTTATTCATGAAATCTAAAACCTTTAAATCTATTTTAACTATTAAATTGTTAAGTAATTTTCTTTAAAAACGAGAATTTAGTATAAATATTCAAAATTTATAAAAATCTATTCAACAAAAAATCAAATATCTATGAAAATTACGAGTATATTATTTTTTTATCCTATTTTTGAACTGAGCAAGTAAAATTTTTAAATGCATCATGAATTATATAAAAACAGCGATTCATCACGCTGCCGATGGCGCTGATATTTCGCGGCGCCTGTTTGTTTTACAAACGTTGCAGTAAGCAAGTCTGTTGATGAGTCTCGAATTATTTGATTTGTTATTTACAGTATTTTCCACCGCTGGAATATTAGACAAGTATTTAACTTCACAAAAATGTCTGATGTTGACCAGATTCGAAACGAATGAGAACTATAATAGTATGTAATAAGTACTACACATTTGCGCCGATTTTCTGATTCTCAAGTGTTTTTTTTTTTTATGCAGCTTGGAACGGCGAGCAAGCTAACGGCCCACCTGATGGAAAGTAGTGACCGTCGCCTATAAACATGAGCAGTACCATAGACATAACAGAGAATGGGACAGTGGTGCCCAAGCAAACTACTTTAGTACAAAGTCTCCCTCTGTTGTGAGATAGACAACGTTAAATCGGAGACATAGACTATAAATACTGGAACTCGATCCAATTTAGACAAGTTTAGTTCAGTTTCCAAATAGGCCCAATCGAGAATTGAACCCGAAGTCCTCATATATGTTACAAAGCGATATGCTCACCACTACGCGCCGAAGATCAATAAACTATATAACTTTTGGCTTACAAATATATCATATATGACAATGCAGTTACCTGCAGTAGCTGAGCGGACATGAGCACCTGACCCGTAGTGTCCGCCCCTTTTTGTAGTTCGTGCCATTGCAATTTGGGGGCGTACTCGTAGCTTTGTCTATCGTCCACCGTTGGGGATACGGAGAAGCGACCAACTAAATCCGTTCTTCCCTAAGTGACAATTCCAAAGTCAGTTTTATTTATTAAATGATACTATAAATAATATTGGAATGGAAGATAAAGGGGAAAGGTTTTTATTGTTTGTAATGGATAAACTCAAAAACTATTAAAGCGATTTTGAAAATTCTTTCACGTATAGATAGCTACATTATCTGCGAGTAACATAGGCTATATTTTAATACCAAAAACTCTGTCTATCCGTGTGAAGCCAGATTGGATCGATAATTATAAATAAGTACCTACAATTATATGGCCATATATTACATTATATTTATTATTATTGTTATTTCAGCCGTTAACTGTCCACTGCTGAACATAAGTCATTCCCATAAGCAGAGTTTTGCCAGTAGTTGCCAGTAGTTTGCCGCTTGGCAGGCGGGTTTGCACCGCTGTTAGATTTTTAGAGATGTTTTAAGAGGGATGCTGCCCATCCCTAGTTGCTGCCATCCCAATGCTCTATTATGCATACTTTTTTTACTGGGTGAAAATGGCATGGTAACTCCGCCTGCGCTATCGGTATACACTGGCGGAGTACCAGTGAGAGGTGATAGGTGAGGATGAGAAGTCAGGTCAGTTAGCCCATAGTGACGAATTCAACGAATTCAATTAGTCACGATAGTTTTCAGGGGAAACCGCCTGTAGATCGACCTGATAGAGTATATTGATAGCAATGGGGACTAACCTCCCCATTACTAACGATCCTTTCCCCCTTATTATACATACTAGTGCACAATGTTTCATTTAACAATTTCAGTAAGAGTACAAACACTGCTATAGTTGTAAAGAAGTGTTGCAATTGAATTAGATTTAATTTTCAATTGGAGCTGATTTTAGCCATCATTAAAAAAAAAGTAACAAATGTGATTTATAATAGAGAAAACTGTATTAAAAGCCAACCATAATACGAGTAATACACATTTACTCACCGTTAAATCACATTCAAACACTTCAACCAGTACCAAGGGCGGGTTCGTCATCAATCTCTCTTGTGTAGTGAACATCATTCTTTGGATTTTCAATACCTGGTTCCATACTGGTGTTGCAGTCTTCTGTTTTACCTGGGAATATTTTTTTTTTATACAACTTAGAATGGCAAACAAGCTGACGGCCCACCTGATGGAAAGTGGTAACCGTCGCCTATAGACATGAGTAGTACCATGGACATAACAGAGTATACTGTTTCGCCCATGATACCCCCCATGCGTTGCCATTCCTGAGGACTGAGATATTATTCTTCTGTACCCTGTAAATTCACGCCATATCCCACCCTTCAAACCGAAACACAGCTATGCAAACACAACTGCTTTACAGTAGAAACACGAAAGGAATCGACTTTTTACAAAGTCTCCCTCTGATAAAAATATTTATTAATGAATAATGATATAGCAATACTAGCAAGGCTTTGTATGAGTTCTTTACAGATAATATAAAATAGGGTATGTTACTCCGAAGAGATGTAGCTTTCGGTAATTTTGGCTGCACCTATTATATTTTATAATTTCTACTATTTACTAAAATTTGTAGGAAATTTAAAACTTACTTTTGTTTCCTTTACTGTATTCATTGTATTAACTCGAACAAAAGCATACGCGAAATTTGAACCATCGATGGAACTAATAAGCTTAGCACGGTAAACAAATACTCGACATTCCAGCATCTGAAATGTACTTTTATTTGAAGGTAGCTATTACCCGCGACTTTAACTGCAGGGATTGTCAGTAATAGGAAGTTTAGTCCTCATTGCTACCAATATACCCTATCAGGTCGACGCGGTTCCCTCTGGAAATCATCGTAACTAATTTATCATTTAATTCGTCACGATGGGCCTCGCGTCACACTCACCAATCATTCCTTACTGGTGCCCCGCCAGTGTATACCGATAGCGCAGGCAGGGTTACCATTCCATTATAATTCATTAAAAAAAAACCTGCATAATCAGAATATGTTGATTAAGCGGAATAAATAGTGGCTAATGCTTCTCCATCCCTAATAGGACGTGTACGCCAAATTACATAACGAATGATTGACCAGTTAAGGATTGGCAACTAGGAACAGTTTGTATGAGAAAATTGAGAAGAAAAGATTTTACGTTTTTTTAAGAAACTGTTTTATCTTTTTACATAAATGTTCCTAATCTTTAACGAATCAATCATTTTTATTTATAATAGAAAATAAATATACTGTAAGAATTATTTCTAACAGAACTGAAATTATACTACATATTAAATAGCCAAAGTCACTAGAAAGATAAGTTATAAGTACAAATTATGGAAACTCTAATGGTAGTGTTATTTCCTTTGGATTTATACCAAATATAAAGTAGCAAATTTTACGAAGTACAATTACTAGAGCATTGGACTTGAGGCACATTGCATAGTTTCTTGTTTTAATTTTGTAACCACTCGGAAAGTAGCTCCCAAAAGCAGAGATTTGACTATAAAGACCCATCCAAAGCAAAAGTTCGATCTTGCCAGCGATACAGCAGCAACCGGATGCTGAAGTGGTTAAATGTTTCGGACATTTTAAAGGCTGAAAAGACAAACGTAAGGTTAATTCTACTAAATATGAAATTTTAAGAAATGTTTGGATATTTAGATGTTTATATCTTTGTTAGTAATTAATGAATATTTGTTACTCTTTGGCACAAACACCACTCAACAGATTTGAATAAAATTTGGTGTATGAATGAAGTAGTATGTATGAAGTTAGATTATAACCTATCCGTAGGTTATAATCTAACTTCATACATAGGTATATAATTTTTTTATTTATATACGAGCAAAGCCGTGGGAAAAAGCTAGAATTATTAAGTCTATAATTATTGGTGTACTAGTTACTAGATTTATATGCAACTTAGAATGGCAAACAAACTGACGGTCCACTTGATTGGAAGGGGTTATCGCCCACAGGCATGAACAGTACAATGAACATAGCAGATTAAACTGTTTCGTCCATGATACCCCCAAGCGTTGCCATTCCTGAGGACTTAGGTGTTATTCCTCTGTACCCTGTAAATTCACTGCCATATCCCACTCTTCAAACCGAAGTTTAGCCATGCAAACACAACTGCTTCACGGTAGAAACACGAATGGGACAGAAGTAGTGGAATAAATAATTTAAATAAAAAGATGACAAGTAAATTTATTATTGATTACTAAACTGTAATAAAAATACTAGTAATAGTAATAAAGAAAATAAGTATAGCGATACCTTCAAATACACTGTTTGTATTCGTCCACAATTCCTTCCATTCTGTTCGGGTATTACGGAATAAATGATATCAGCTGCAGAAATTCTTGCGTATGCCGTCCTTGACCCTCCATTCAGGAGCCAGATAACAATATCTGGCCATCCTTCATATGCCTGCAAGTAGTATTGTCGGGGTGTATATTTAAGTAATCCTTTAAAACAGAAATATGCTGCAGTACTACAAATTTTGGTTGTTATTTTGGGTTACGATTTTCACAAAACAAAGAAGACCTTTTTGATTTGGCACTTAACATTTATCGTGAACTAGAAAATTGGTCTACGAGTATTCAATAACTATCTACTCTAGAAGATTCATCAATAGAAACTATGAACATTTTTACTGCCATATTGAAAAGTAATATTTTATGTGAACCTTGTAAATAAGATCCTTTAAACTACTTGTGAGTATTTTTGTATTGGCCAAATGTATTTTAACACTTTTTCTAGAAGCAGTTATACTTTCGTGGGTACGTTTACTCGTGGACTTTTTAAGTTTTAAAGTCGAACATCCTTTATCTCTTGTGATTATTTGTTGGTAAATTTTTTCCTGTAAAATGCAAAATGTATCTACATTTTATATTCTCTAATTACTGTATCAAGTCAATATCGTTACATAGCATAAAAAAAGTATTTTATTGAAGAAACAGATAGATATTTATATGAGAGGAAAACTAGTTTTTGTCCGCGACTCTGTCCGCGAAGATTTGATAAAAATGGCCTAACAAATCAATTTAAAAGTGAATTTCACTATTTCTTTGTTATCTCTTAGTGCCTTAACGACATAACTCGTCATACAGTTTTATGCACACTTACTATTTAAAAAGGAAAACACAGACTAAAATGTTGGGACAGTTGATAAGACACGACGACCTTATGAACAGTATAAAAGAAAGTAAGATAGAAGGAAGGAGGGAGAGAGGAAGACCAAGGCATAGTTACATCAGGCAGATTAAGGAAGCAGTTGGTGTCGTGTCGTGTCTAGAGATGAAGAGACTCGCTGAAAATCGTAGTGAGTGACAAGAGCTCCACCGACAAGAGCGCAGCTTTTAAATAGGATAGATAGACTGAATATTATCCCAGTTAATAAACTTATCTCGGCTACGCTATAGTTACAGATAAAAATACGTGTTATAAAAAAAAAATAAGGAATAAAAGAGTAAAAAAGTGGAGTCAAGGTAACCAGAAGGTTGTTTATGCTATGCCTCGGGGTCGAGCTCACTCGTTCATTTGGACTATTTGAAGATCTAAATTTTTTTATGCAACTCAATGTGGCAAACAAACTGACGGCCCAGTCGAAGTTAACCCTACTTCGGATTATTTAGACCAGCTTAACACTGCAACTGACTTCCCTCGAGACAGCGGAATGTGAAAATATGAAAGTAAGTTTGTTGCCTCTTAGTGCTATAATGTCTCCTACAGTCTTCATTATATATATATATATATATATATATATATGTGTGTGTGTGTGTGTGTGGGTGTGTGTGTGTGTGTGTGTGTGTGTGTGTGTGTGTGTGTGTGTGTGTGTGTGTGTGTATATATATATATGATATATATATATATATATGATGAAATTTACAAACATACATAGATATAGACAGAGAGACATTTTTTTTAAATTATTGTTTATACTATTAAATATAAGAAAAAAATAGTATATAATATTATTTTTTTTTACTTAAATCTCCCAAATTAAGATAGATATAATAGATAACTGTAATTACATAATAATTATAATATTACGTATAATAATAATTACAAGTAGGATTACAATTATAAAACCGACTTCAAAAATTTTATATTTGTTACCTCATAACCATCAGTTCTAAACCGATTTGGAAAATTCTTTTGATCTGAAATAATATACTTACAGAATGATGCCATAGGCTTTTTACCGAAATCAGTTCAGTAGTTTAGTTCTGAAATCAAAATAAATGGTTGTTTTAGTGGCACATAATCTTATATTACAATAAACAGTATTTGAACGGTGGGATATGGCGTGAATTTACTGGGTACAGAGGAATAACACCTGAATCCTCAGGAATGGCAACGCATGGGGAGTATCATGGGCGAAACAGTATACTCTGTTATGTCCATGGTACTGCTCATGTCTATAGGCGACGGTTACCACTTTCCATCAGGTGGGCCGTCAGCTTGTTTGCCATTCTAAGTTGTATAAAAATGAATAAAAAATAAAATTCTAAAAAACTATAATATCCATTAAGAGGCCTTTTATATTTGTTTACATAAAGCAATGAAAAAACAGAGTTGTTAAGATTCTGATTCTACACAATTAAGAGTTTGATATATATTTTAATTCCTGAATTGTGTTGATGGTTACTTGTCTTAAAAAGAGCGTCTTTCAATTTTTACTACGCTCATTATTATGTGCTAGTTTCTTTCTAATTTTCAAAGCTGTGCTGTCAAATTCAAGTGGTTATTCATTAATTATAATTATTTTTTTTAAATTAAGACTGATTTGTAATTTTTTATATTTTCAATTAAATACCTCAGTAAATTGTTCTTTATTTTAATCAAAGTTTCTACTAAGTATTGCCGAAATGTTTCTAATTCTTTTATAATAATTAAAAATATAAACATTATTAATATGTAAATTTATATAAATTTTGTTGCGCAACTCAATGCACATACTCGTAACTGAAACTTGATAATCGTCTTCTTGAGTGTTGGACGACAATGTGAGCTCCTTTAAATTTATTACAACCTGGTATTTTGTCGATATTTACTCCTTGTCCTTATGTTTGAACATGCGCATTGCAACATTTACACCACTTACATTTCCTTATAAAAAAAAATTGTAATCGTCATAGACTCTTGAGTACTGATCAAAATTGTATTTTCAATCTTAATACATTAAAAGGAAGGTAAATATTAAAGTACACAAAAGTAGTAGCTGTATTTTTAAAACACCTTAGCCGTTTATAATAGCCTGGTAAATTTTACGGGCAATAAGTTGCATTTAGTAATATTTTACATTTAATTTAAAATATTTTTTATTTATTTCTATATTATGTAATAATTTTTACACGAAAATAGATTAATTTTGTCTCTCTTAATTGAAAAATATTTCAATGCGCAAGAATACTTGAAAATCACCGCGGGCCATAATGTCGGTACGCGAAATGCAATTTACCTATCGAAATCAAGTTACCTTTCTATTCCATTTACCTGTTAGACAAGTTTTCGTATTATTATAATATTTATTATATAGATAACTGATAATATAATATTTTATTTTTACCTTATTCCTTTTGGCTACTACAGAATTTTAGAGGTTTGCTCTTTTGAGGACAAAGTAAAACTAAGTTATGATCATTTTGTATTGTCATGGCACATTTTATTTTTCTCTTAAAAAAATATGTTTCTCTTTTCTCTTTTATGTTTTTTTTTTTTGTATATGTATTTCTTTCATCTCGTTTTTTGTGTAAATCTACTACGTCAGTTGTTTATCTTTATTTAAATTACCTCGAGTTACATTATTATAATAAATTTAATTAATTTTAAAAGAAATCTATAAACATTTTATTTTTATTCTCCAGATGATGTGTAACCTACGATACTCGCTGATAATGTATTCTTTAAGTGAAACAATTTTTGAAATCGATTAAGTCAATATTAAATTTATCCATTACAAACAAATAGTATTATTACATAAAATACCCTGTGATTTTATTCACAATATGATATATTGTTATATTAGTATTATATTATCTGTGGTTATACTAAATTACATTCGATCCATTCAACCGTTCAAATAAATTAACAAGCAACTATATACGTAAACAACATACAAACACCCAATAATATTACAAATTATTCTATTTATAATGCGAGTATGATAAAAGAATTCTATACTGACAGTACTGCTTATGTCTATAGGCGACGGTTACCACTTTCCATCAGGTGGGCCGTCAGCTTGTTTGCCATTCTAAGTTGTATAAAAAAAATCAACTATATTTGCCATTTCAACAAAGCGCATCGTGCTGAATGACTCGCTTAGATATTTTTATGTACACAGTGAGCATTGCGGGGGTACTTACATACGTGCGTTGCAAGACGTTCAAACTGTACAGTATTTCAATTATGTGGGTATTATCTGAATAATATATTACGGGGGGAAAGGGATTGTTAGTAATGGGCTCTTATGAACCCATTGCTAGCAATACACCCACACGATGGACTAACGGATCTGCTTTCATCGTCACCTATTTATTACCCGCAAGCGGGGTTATCATTTTATTATCTCTCAGTAAAAAAAAAAAAAACTTTGTCATAAACGTCAGTTATGAAAGTAGACTACTGATGATTGATTTCATTTAATTGTTTCAGTTTTACAATCAAATTTTGTGTCATTCGATTTTCAAAATGGAATAACACAAATTATAAATTCTTTTATCAGGTGGGCTATAAGCTTGTTTGCCATTTCAACTTATAACAATACAAAATTACTTTCATATTCTTACAATTTCTTCCTTTTGAAGCGTTAACTGCCTCTGATCCAGCTCCGTGCTGTACTGACGTAGCATATTTTCACTACTACTATTTACATTCGAGTATTGGATAATGTCCAGAAACTTGAGGATGTTAGCAGCTGCGTCATCAACGGCTCTGTTCAGCTCATCTATCAGTTCATTTGGAGTGGCATACTCCAAGTTCTTTAGACGACGTTCAATGTCTACTAACGTTGACTCCTTCAAAAAATTATTTTCAATTAATGTAGTGCCCATAACAAATTAGTTTTTACACTGCAGTCTATTTTAATTGAACTTCATAAAAATAGCAATCAAGTTTCGTTGAAATTAATACAAAAATATTTTCTAAATAAAATTAGTGACATATCGAAATATATATTATAACATATCAATAAATCGATTTCTGATCAGCCGACTGTCTTATGGGCGGATCAATTGTTCGTCTGTTTACATTCTCATTAAGTCCTAGTGAAACAGACTATGCTACCGAATGTTGCTTCTGCAAGCATTTGTTGTATTATGTATGCTGTATGTTGTAATATATATATATATATATATATATATATATATATATATATATATATATATATATATAACAGGTACACAGTTTCTGTTCTGGTATAAATTGTTTCAATTACAAACAATTGAAATAGTGCGTGACAAGCAAGTCGAATATACTAACCAGAGCAACAACGATCCTATACAGCATATTATTTCTGTACATCCTAAACCTGAAATCTGGTAGTCTGGTAGCAAGTTGTAATATAGGAAATGCATTTGGGAAGTCCAAATAACCATATGCTGGTCGAGTCTTCATTACTTCTAATGAACCAGTGTAGTGAAGTTTTCGTGATTCTAATGAAGGAGCAAGAAGTTTGGAGATTTTTTAACTTCAAATTGCAAACAACTTAACAACTCATATACTAACTGATAAACAACGGTAATCGTTAAACAATATTTTGGTCTATTCTGTTACAATCATGGTAATACACATGCGTTGCTTTTTCTGAGGACTGTTGACTTTTAAGTGGAACCGGGTCAGAGCTTTTTTTTTGATGGGTGAAAATGGAATAGTATATAATAGTAATAGAATAGCCTGCGGTTATAGGATACGCTGACGGAGCACCAGTGAAGGGTGATAGATGAGAATGAAAACAGGCCAGTTAGCCTATCATGATGAATTCATCAGGAATTAACCATGGTTGTTTCCAGGAGGAGCCACGAGGAGGTCGATCTGGTTTGGGGTATATTGCTAGCAATGGGATTATTAGTCTCCATTACTAACAATCGCTCCCCCCCGGTTCAGAGCTTTAGCAAAATGGGTATTTTATAAAGAAATATAGTTGCCTATTTATAACTACTCAATTTGATAAATATCTATAAATAAAATTGTATTAAACTAAAATTCCACTTCGATTAAGGTAAAACCAGTTATTTTGATTTAAAAACTAAACTGCTGAACCGATTTTCGTAAAATTTCAATGAAACCAATTTGTAAGTATACCTATGCTACAACAGAACAATTTTTCAAAAAACGAATTTTGTTTATTAATTAGTACATCTTCAAGAAATTACGACACGAATAAGGAATTATATTATTTATTGTAACTAACACTATTAAGAAACTCAACCTGTAATTTAAAAATGGCACAACACTTTTGTTGAACTCAGGATTGATTTTGTAGTAGTTAGAACCAGAGTTAGTTAAATTATTTTTTATTCTCATTACACAGTAAACTTTATTATGTTTTCAATACCTGCACACAACACTAACAAAGCGAGTTTGGGATTAGCAGAGGCAGTAAATTTACGTACAGTTGCAAATCTTATTAGGGATTCGTACTCACTGATTTCATTCATCATAGCTGCGAACTCTGTAACAATAATTATTATCTGACTTAGCAGTTCTACAATATTGCAATGGTTACTATATGTAGCTACCTGTTTTTAATGATGAAATCGAGCATAACAATAGATTATTTATTTATTTTAATATTAATTTATTTATTGTTATAACCCACATCCCTCAGTAGTACCTATAAAGCAATAACCCATATAATCACAGAAGGAATTACCATTTAATTATCTTTAATTCTCAACTAATAAATGTAAAGTAAAAAGAAACAAATAAATAGGCGATTTAGCAGTTTAACTGATCGTCCAGTAATTTGCATACTGTATGCAGAATAGGGAATATAGGCCACTTGTTCGTCGTATATAAAAGCTAATCATCCATTAAAAAATATCACAGTAAAATAAATCACAGTATATATTTTTTTATTCTGCATTACCACCCTCTCTCAACCTATGCTCGTCCCCTAGGAGGGAAGGGATTATTAGTAATCCGGAGTACCACTCCCATTGCAATCAATATACTCTGTCAGGTGTACCTCTACGTGGCTTCCCCTGAAAACCGTCTTGATGAATTCCAGATGTATTCATCACGATGGGCTAACTGACCTGCCTTTTCATTGTCCCCTATCATCCCTCATTGGTGCGTAGCCAGCGTATACCATTAGCACAGGCGGAGTTACCATTTCACTATCATCTATTAAAAAAACCTCGTCACAATGAAGGGTCATTGTGACTCGAAATTGTTGATGTGAAAAAGAACGCAGTATGGTTACATTAGCAACATTAAAATTGAATATCTAAAAGAAATCTATAAAATTGTAAAAACAATAATCTTAAAAAACCATTAGGTACCTTCATCAGCTTTATTGTCGTTACACATGTCGCCAATTGTCAAGGCAACTCCACAAAATCTCCCAGCTATCTTACGATCCAACATCGAAACTTCCAGAATAGGACAAAATATACAAAAGTCTTCGAGCGACCATAAATTTTCCTGAGACAATAAACACGTTTTTCTAATATGAGAAAATATTAACAGTGATTTTATGAAACCTCCCTGCAGGATTTGTCTATTTTATTTGTCTTAAGTGAACTTAAAAATTATTAATTAAATTTAATATATAATAATGAATTAAATTTAATAGTATTTTATTTAATAAAATTAAGTCTATCGGCATAATTGAAAATTTATAATACACAACACAAACTAATAAAAATTATATGATCAATCAATCTATACATATAATAAATTCATAACTGGTCGCTGTCTGTACATAGAAGATATATAAGCAATACTATTATAGAGAGGCTATTATGATCGCAATAGGACCCCAAATAATTATTTTTATAATTTTTGTCTGTTTGCTTATTTGTCTGTACGTTTGTGCACGCCAATCTCAAAAATGGCTTAACGATTCGAATGCGATTTTTACCGCTGCGCTGCAGTTTGCTCCACGTAATATTTAGTGTTTGTTTTATTTCAATCGGTTCACAAATAAAAAAGTTATATCAATCTAAAGAATCACATATAACTGACCTGTCTTGTCAGTCTCACTTATCATCTCTCACTGGTGTCCCGCCAGTGTATACCGTTAGCATGGGCGGTGTTTACCATTTCAATGTCATCCATTAAAAAAATCATTGAGCAAATGAACAAATAAAAAATGTACACGTATTTATTCACGACGAATAATAATAATATAGCTATTGAAATTAAACGGGTAATGTTAAAATAATACTTAACAGCCATAAAGTAAAATAAATTTTTATCAACCTACGATCAAAATTTATAGAGATACCATGTATTTTTTTAAGGTGTAATTGGTTCCCAGTTTTGAAGCAAATTTTACATGTCAACACTGCGTTCTAAATTCAAACATTTTCTATTTAATGCCTGTAAAAAATATATCAAACTTACCGGTTTGATAGGAGTGACGGGTTCAACATTGGTAGTTCTAACACTTTGTTGATAGAACGGCACTACAGTTTTCAGAGAGACCAGTAGTGCTCCTTTGTGGTATGGCCCCTCCTCACAAGTAGACCCTAAGGCACCTGCACAGGAACTGCCATACATGTGCAGCAACGACGGCCCGAAGGTTGGTAAGAAACCTACGGATTTGCAAGCAGTTTATTTCTCCATTTTATTTTTTTATTTTATTTTATTTTATCTTTATTTGTTACACTGACACCATTTAATAATAAGATTACTCTTTATTATTTTATTTATTTATTTACACTTTATTGCACCAAGTGAAAAGAGAAATAACAAATACAGTAAATACTAATGAGAAGTGATACAAAAAGCGGCCTTGTTGCTAAGCAATCTCTTCCAGACAACCTTTGGGTAGAGGACATTGAGAAAAAGACAAAGAGTAGGTGGCGTACTATTATATAAATATTATCATATACAAACATATATAGATACATACATACATATATACACATACATATATACACATACATATATAATATATACACAATTAAATATATACATAACATACACATACTTAACAACACACATACAACAGAAAAAAAAATGACAAAGGAAAACGAAGAGAGAACACAGGAAAATAGTACTAAAGTGATTTTTGTTATTTGTAGACTTTATTTGTAGATAGTATACAATCATTTTACAGGAAACACAGCACGCATCATCGTGTATTCCCGGCATAGAATAAGACACCAGGGGGCCTACCATGAAATGTTTTCCGAAATTTCGAAGCCAAACGAAACAGAAATTTGATGTTAAAATTACATAATACATCTCGTTCGGAAATATTAAAAATGTTAAAATATTGTTTGTTTGGAATTTTATTATAGGATGTAACGAACGAAATGTTAAACTTCATTTATTGGTCCGATTTTGGTATAAATAAAAACACGAAATTGAGTCCGAAATATCGGAATTTCATTTCATGGTAGACCCATAGTTCCTTTCCCGTGGGAGTCGTAAGACGCGACTAAGGGAGGGTAAGGGACGAGCAGCATCGCCATACGTTAATTTTAATATTTTTCTTTTGACACTTGCTACTGCACATTATAATTTTATTTAATTCTATGATTTTATTAATATTGTTCTCATCTTACAGTAATATTAAAAGTGTTTAGCTTGTATTTAATTGACACAAAACATTAATATATTTTCCCACAGTCTTTAGAAGAACGTTTTGCATGATAATGTTAGCAAAACATGTAAACAGAACAAGCGATTATCTTTTTTATACCAAGGATCTCGTAAGTATACATTTATACTTTTTTTTTAAATGGGTGATAATAGAAAGGTAACCCCACCCGCGCTATTGGTATACACCGACGGGGCACCAGTGAAGGATTATAAGTGAGGATGAAGCAGGTCAGTTAGCCCATCGCGACGAATTCAACAAGAATTGTATACGATGGTTTCCGGGGGGAATCGCGTGGACGTCGACCTAAGCAAGCTACCAATGGGGCTGTCAAACTCCATTGCTAACAATCCCTTTCCCCCTACATTTATACTAGCACTATCGAAAAGTAAGAAAAGTCCCCTTCTAGTAAAGATATTTAAATATAATTGTTTTACCGTTCTCCCCGTCGTGGGAGATCAGTCCCAACTTCAAGTGAGTGCTCCCCAATACTCTGTTGAAGCAACCTTCAGCAGTACAAACTTCCAATCGGATCATCTGATTCATGTTAGGAAACATCTCCACAATTGATACCTGCTCGCTGTACATTGGGTTGTTATTTCGGTGCTGTACTGCTGTTTTCACCTGAAGACATTAATGGATCATGGTTACAACGAAAGTATATCTTAGTACTAACGTAAGAGATACAAACTGTAATCTGCGGCTTCTACCGTGTTAATCAGTAACTGCTCAATTCACATTATAATTTTTAATATTATAAGCTTATAAATATACCACTTTATTAACTATTTTCATACAAATACATTGTTGCTTTAATATTATTTGAAGACTTATAGTACGATTTTCTAAAGGCTATAAAATATTTCAATCTCTCTAGAATTTGACTTTGACATAACAAGCTTGTACAAATAATTACATGAAAAATTACGCATTATTAGGAGCAGCAACAAAATACTTATACTAGTTTTTTTTTATTGATGATAATGGAATTGTAACCCCGTCTGTGCTAAGGGTATATATCACTATGGAGTATCAGTGAGGTATGATAGGTGAGAATGAAAAAGCAGCTCTTTCTGTATAATCTAAGGTTACAAGTTAAGGTTTTAAATAATATATACCAACAGTCCACAGAAGGAAACCCGGACAAACGTGTTCGGTAGTTTCCCGTATCTCCTATCGCCGTGACAGTGAGATCCAGTGGGTAGACCAAACGCACCGTATACTGTTATGATGTAATTAGCAAGCTGTTGTTCCGATCCTGAAGGCAGGACGAGGTTGCTGAGAACAAAACATTATACACCTTTTGAACTGTTGGGTAAAGACAGCTATGCTCAATAGATTTTAAAAATTCTATCACTAATAAATAACTACAGTATTAGCGAGTAATATAGGGTATATATTATTTTTGAAAACTTTGTCTGTCCGTCTGAAGTCGGGTCGAATCGCTATTCTATACATATAAAACTGTAAAGGTCAAATATCTGTACATAAAAAAATGCTAAGAACTGAGTCAGGGGGATAATAGAAATGAAATGGATCACATCAAAATTTTTTCAATTTTTTGTTTATATGTCTTTTTGTCGGTTTGTACGAGCTAATCTACGAAACTGTTGGACCGATTTAAATTAAATTTTGCATGGCGGTACCTTACATCCCCGGTCAACATTTTAGATACTTTTTATCACAGAAAATTAAAGAGTTCCCGTGGAATAGTTAAAGAACTATAGTAACTTATACAGCTTAGTACACAACCTACTTAAGTAAAGTCATTTTGACCTAAGGCAAAGAGTAAGAATGAGACGTCATTTATTAATTTTGGTCCAGTATTCCCAGACATAATACATATTAAACACGAATAACAAATATCATGGGGGGAAAGGGGTTGTTAGCAATGGAGTTTGACAGCCCAATTGCTAGCAATATGCCCTATTAAGTCAACCTCCACGTGGTTCCCCCTGAAAGCCATCGTGAATAATTCTTATTGAATTCGTCACGATGGGCTAACTAACCTGCTTTATCCTCATCTATCATCAGTCACTGGTGTTCCGCCGGTGTATACCGATAGGGCGGGTGGGGTTACATTTCATTATCATGTATTTAAAAAAAAAAACAAATACCACGCGGACAAAATCGGGTGCATCAGCTAGTCGAAAATAAAATAGAAGAAAAATACTAAAACACCACATATAAATACTATGTTAGTAAGTAGCGAATAAGTTAACATTCTAATTTTAAATAGCTATTGGTCTACAAACTATGCTAAGTATAGAAAAAGGGAACATATTTACTCTTCGACTGTTTCTTCGTTTACCATTGCAGGTACCACCTGTAACATATCCCCTCTGAATATAATGGATATGTCTACTTTAAGGAATCCAACTGGACCCGCTGTTGGGTCCCGAGGAAGGCTAAGCTGTGCCCATTTATGAAATATCTGATGATCTGAAATTATATTACCATTTTTTTTAATGGATGATAATGGAATGGCACCCCGACCGCGCTAACGGTATACACTGGCGGGACACCAATGAGAAATGAAAGGTGAGAATGAAAAGGCAGGTTAGTTAGCTCATCGTGATGAATACATCTGGGATTCATCACTATAGTTTCCAGAGGGGACCACATGGAAGTCGACCTGACAGGGCATTTTGCTAGCAATGGGACTGATAATTCGCATTGTTAACATTCCCTCCCCTCCCCCTATTATATTACCATTAGGTTTACAAAGTGTTCATGCCCATTTATAAGAATTTGGCTTATTACTTGTCAGTTACCTAGTACCTAGAACGACGTTCGCCGTGTCGGTCCCAGCATAGAATAGACTGTGGGTCATAAGAGGTGAGTAAGGGAGGTCGAGAGATGGGCAACAGCATCCCTCTTAAAATATCTCCAAAGGCTAACTGCGGTTGCCAATCTGTCTGCCAAGCGCGGCAACTACTGGCAACCCCCCCCCCCCCCCTCCCCATGGAGGAAACTTATGTTCAGCAGTGGATTGTTAAAGGTTGATATGTCATCATTAGATAATACCTAATACCTACATAGGTATTTAAAAATTATCTACTGTTACAAAAAAATATAACAAATTATAAATGTGTTTTTTTTTCCTGACATTCATTAATATTGCGCGATACGTGTTATATCGAAAAAATTTTTTTCAAGATCCAAAAATTTGAAAGTTCAATCTTTAAATTGCTTTTTTATTTACTCGAATACGACCATTTTTATCAAAGACACAGGCATTTGAAAAATCGCTAAAATTTAGGTTTTTTTTATCTCTTCATTTTTCCCGCTAGTGTATATACTTGCAGGACATGTTCAAATAATTCATTAGAAGGGAAATTATTTGAATAGAATTATCCGCAGTCCATATAGAATAGATAGAAAATTAACCACATTGCAAAATAAAATATTCATCAAGGTCTCATGCACTAAAAACAGCACGTAAACTTAATATTTGACACGTATATATTTAAGATATTTAAATGCAATTTGACACGATCTGCGCTAACGGTACACACTGGAAGCTAAAATGCAATCGAATGTATTGATAGAACCTTTACTAACTTTTTTGTCAAAAGGATTAAAACAGGATGATTTTTAGGTGGATCGCTCGAATGTACGACATAACAGATATATTGCTAGCAATAAAGCCACCAAGTCCTAACCACCGACCAAACAATCTCGATTTTAAAAGAGACTGCGTAGAGATCGATCTAAACAGGTATATCGCTAGTAATGGAGCCGCTAAATTCTATTACAAACGATCTCTCCCGGGGGGAAAGGGATTGTTAGTAATGGAGACTGAGAATCCCATTGCTAGCAATATACCCAACCAGGTCGACCTCCTTGCGGTTCTCCCTGGAAACTATCATGGTTAATTTCTGATGAATTCATCATGATGGGCTAACTGGCATGTTTTCATTCTCATCTATCACCCTTCACTGGTGCTCCGCAAGCGTATACCGTTAGCGCAGGCGGGGTTACCATACCACACTCACCCATAAAAAAAAACAATCTCTCCCTTTCATTTAACACATCCATGTGTTTATTGCATACTTACAGGGTTGCGTCCAAATAGTCCCGAGATTGATGTTGGTTTCGCCTAAAAGCCGTGGCGGGGCACAGCATCGGGGCTCCATCACCGCTAGCCAAATACTGGACCTCTGAACATCTCGAATGCTCGCGAAAATTTCAAACACGAAGTACTAAAAAAAATGTTATTAAACTTTGTATCCAAACAATGTTTTTGTCTACATAATTTAGATCCATCAATCCATAGGCATACTAACGGCTATATTACCTGTTGGGGTAGTTAGAGGTATTTGTTGAGTATTAAGATACCATGGTATTGAATATAGTATAGAACACATGCTAGTCTATCGGCAAAATGCAAATAGTTTTTAAGAAATACTGCACTCAAAAATATTTATTTATTTAACGAGCATATTGGAAATAAATATAGCAGAACGCAAATTTACGTTGTATAGTTTAAATTAATACAATTTGACTACTATTTAGGTATTATGGTGATACAACACTAGATTTCCTTGTATTTTTTTTTACAACACAGGGGGCAAACGAGCATGCGGCTCACCTGATGGTAATGACCGATTCTAGCAAATAAACGAACATATATGTAATTTGGATTAATTTGGATGAGATAATTAGAGCTACCTCATCTGAGATTATAGTCGTGAGCATATTTATACAGTATTTTTTATTCCGCTATCGACCACAAGAAATAGTGCACTTGATCAGCTACCGTGGCAGGTTGAAGCAGTTATGGGTGGTCTTTTCCCAACAGTGGGACGTCACAGGTTGTGAATGAGTTTGGAACAAGATAATAAATACGGTAAATAATAGGTAACCTCTCTATAATAAGGCTCTTCCATATTTCTTCTGGTACTAGTTCTCCGTTTTTTCTTTCCAAGAACTATTATCACGTAAGAATTAGCCGAGTGAGAGTTGCTCCAAGCCAATTTCCTTGCTTCTAGCACGTTGATGGAAATCTAGAGATTTTACAATAGATATAATAGGTAGCCTACAAAAGTACCTATATTTTATATAGGGAGGGAGACTTTGTATAAAAGTCGATTGCTTGGGTACCTCTGTCCCATTCGTGTTTCAACCGTGAAGCAGTTGTGTTTGCATGGCTGTGTTTCGGTTTGAAGGGTGGGATATGGCGTGAATTTCTGGGTACAGAGGAATAACACCCAAGTCCTCAGGAATGGCAACGCATGGGGGGTATCATGGGCGGAACTGTATACTCTATTATGTTCATAGTGCTGCTTATGTATATAAGCAACGGTTACCACTTTTCATCAGGTGGGCCGTCAGCTTGATTGCCATTCTAAGTTGTATACAAAAAAATATATATATAAAAACTGAGGTACTGGTCCTGATTGACCAAAAACTGTATTTGACCATAAACTCAGCCGCACTAAACCGATTGGAAAATACCATTTACATTTACATTTACAAAATGTGATGAGCAAAATGTTTATGGAGCTAACACAGGAAAAACTGCATCTGCAAACTGCAAGTCATTGGAATATACACAAAAAAATATACATTTTAATTGAGAGTCACCCATTTTTAAGTTTTTTTAATATTACCTACGTTGTGTATTTAGTAAACAAGTACTTGTACTCATAATTTAAACATATTTACTGGTAAAATCTCATGTTCAATACAAAAATAAATTAATTTTAAAATCCATCTATAAATAATACTATTAAAATATGAACGATATATGTAATAATCATTATTTTATTACTATTCCAGCTACTGTCTACCGCTGAACAACATAAGCCTTTCCCGTAAGAAGAATTTTGTCAGTAGATGTCACGCTTGGCAGGCGGGTTGGCAACGCAGTTAGACTTTTACAGTGTTTTAAGAAAGAAGGAATGAGCAGTACCCATCCCTCCACCATAAGTTTCCTTAGTCGCCTTTTACGACTCCCACGGGAGGAAGGAGTGGTACATTTTTTGCCGGTACCTACACGGTGAATAATATATACATATACCAATAATTATTAAGTGATTAAAAAATTATAAAGTATAAGTATCCGTAAAAACAGGTCTAAAACTAAGATCTAAATATAAATATAACTTAATGTTAGCTGCTTTTCATATAACAGTCTGATTGTCCGCTTCCAATTTCAAACCGTCCCTCATGTATTGTCTAAATTTAGACATTATACCTGATGTTTAAGAAACCTTATTGTGAATGTTATAGCTTTCAGAATAGAACTCAAAATCGAATGAGCTCATCTGATTTTGAGAGACCGAACAAGCATTGTATGATAAAAAAGGCCAATAAGGAATGCTTTTATAAATTATTCATTTTAGCAGGTCCGACTATCTTTTTGTAGTAAGTAGAAAAAGATGTAGATATAAATGGGGTCATTGTCCTCTCACAAATACGTGTGTCATGATCAATGTTTGTTTTTTTTTTAATGGATAATAATAGAATGGTAACGCCGCCGGCGCAATCGGTATTCGCTGGCAGGGCACCAATGAGGGGTTCCAGTAGAATTAACCACGATAATTTCAAGGGGGAATCGCGTGGAGGTCGACCTGATAGGGTGTATTGCTAGTAATGGGGAAATTAGACCCCATTACTAACAATCCCTTTCCCCCCTCCTTCTGGTATTAGGTAGGTATTCTTTAATACTCCAGTTCAAGTTTAATATTATACCTAATTAGTAACCCGCCCCGGCTACGCATGGATTCTTTTTAGAAAATATAAAATAGTCTATTTTACTCTGAGGAAAAGTAGCTTTCGGTAAAATTGGTTGAGTAGTTTTTGAGTTAAATCGTAACTTTCCTCGTTATACATGATATTAATTTACATTGATACACTACCGTAATTCGGATCTCGTCGGTTCGGACGCGAGGCGAGGGCTACGGGACGCCGGCGTAGCCCAATCGAATTACGGCGACACGAAATTAATTTCGTTACGCATTATTTTCATTTTGCTATATCTCCTAAGGTATTCGATTAATTTGCATAGTGTAAAGAGAAAAAATGATCTTCATAAAATATTCAAGCCAACTAACGTATTTAAAATGATAAGAATTCATACTATATTTGTGTAAATAGCTTTCCAACTACCGCTTTATAATTGGCCATTTTTTTATGTATTAAAATGGATATAGTATGTTATCCTTAAGAGATAAACATATGCCATCGCGGACTTTTCTGTAGAACTATATAAGATACATAATTCCACCATACAATATTTTGTTATATCTCAAAGGGTTAAGGCAGCGTTTTCGTTCAAAGCTTCCAGACGGCTTATTTTTTTCCGACACCTCCAACAAATATCGTTATATTATAGTCAATGTATACAAAAACTTAACAAATTATATACTAAAACCTTTCC